ATGTGATTTTTGACTTAGTAAGGCCGAGGGCCTGTGTTGTGAGGATATCTTTTGGGTCGGGCTGCACGCCGCAGCGATGATACACTAATACTGATGTGAGGCCGAGGGCTTGAGATATGTACGCCACGAGGTGTCTTGATATTGATATGAGGCCGAGAGCCTGTTTATGATGCCACGAGATGGCTTGTTATTGCGCTTGGGCCGTAAGGGGTCCCTCCAGGAGTCTGCACACCCCCAGTGAGCGCGGGTACCCATTGTGATGTGAGATATAGCCCGAGGGGCTGGTATGGTTCTATGTGTTTGCCCGAGGGGCTTGTACTGTTCTGAGATATTGCCCGAGGGGCGGATTTGTTAACATTGTGCCCGAGGGGCGAACTTTATGTGCTTATCTTCCTTGTTTGCCTGTCATTGACCTGTTTAATTGTGTATTTGTGCCCGAGGGGCAAATTTCTATCCTTGTCTGCACTAGTTGTTCTGCATTCATTTGCGTAACTGTTGAAAAAGGCATTTTCAAAGAAGTTTAAACTGAGCTAAGATGTTTTAAAGGGATTTCACATCTTCATTGCTTTCTTACTGGTTTTTGAACTGCTTCTATACAGCATGTTGATGCACTTTTCGTGATTTCTTATCACTCAATCTTTATTTATGATTATTACTCACTGAGTTGGCAGTACTCATTTTACTCCCTGCACCTTGTAAGCAGATTCAGGTATTTCAGCACCTGGTAGCAGGTATTGGCTGAGCTGAGGCAAAGTCACCGGATTTTAGCAAGGTAGCTGTCGGCGTTCGCAGCACTACTTTTCTCCCTCTTTATTCTATTAGTATGTACTTTGTAAACTTCAGACTTCGTCAGTTGTATTTAGACCTTAGTAGATGCTCATGACTAGTGACACCCCGGTTTGGGCTGTGTTTGGGTTGTACTTCCGCATTGTGATGATATTATCTGCTGTGTAGTATTATTAAATCGTGTTATAGCCTGTTGTATTGTTGTTTAGCTGTTTAACTTCGAATTGGAAATGTGTCGGCTGGCCTTGCCTTCGCGAGAGGCGCCATCACGACCGGGTCTGGGTTTAGTGTCGTGACAATAGCCAATGCCTTGACATTGATGATGAAGTACATGAGGCTCCCCTTCAACTAGAAGATGGAGGACAATCGACTACTGATGAGCTTAAGGAACTCAATTTAGGCACTCTGGAAGATCCACGCCCCACCTTCATTAGTGTGCTTCTTACGCCTCAGGAGGAGGAGGAATACTCCAAGTTATTGACCGAGTACAAAGATGTCTTCGCTTGGTCGTATAATGAAATGCTTGGTCTTAGTTCTAAGGTAGTCGTTCATTCTTTGGGGATCAAAAGTGGAGCATGCTCTGTGAAGCAGTCACAACGCATGTTCCGACCCGAGCTACTACCATAAATTGAAGTCGAAGTCAACAAGCTCATCGAGGCAGGATTTATTCGAGAGGTGAAGTACCAATCATGTATATCGAATATTGTACTTGTCAAGAAGAAGAATGGTCAAATACGTTTTTGTGTTCACTTTCGACCTAAACAAGTCATGTATGAAAGATGACATCCCGCTACCAATTATTGAACTCATGGTTTATGCTACAACAGGGCATGAAGCTATGTCATTCATGTATGGGTCCTCCGGATACAATCAAATCAGAATGTCTCCAAAAGATGAAGAGTGAACTGCTTTTCGAACTCCAAAAGGGATATACTACTACAAAGCGATGCCCTTCGATCTGAAGAACGCTAGTGCTACCTACCAACAAGCGATGCAAAACATCTTTAACGACATGCTTCATAAGAGGGTTGAATGCTACATCGATGATTTGGTGGTGAAGACAAAGAGTAGATATTACCACCTTGAAGACCTTCGAATTGTTTTTGAAAGGTTAATAAAATTTGACCTGAAGATGAACCCACTCAAGTGTGCGTTTGGAGCTACCTCAGGAAAGTTTCTTGGCTTCATTGTGCTTCATCGTGGAATTGAAGTTAATCCCCTAAAGATTGACGCCATTCAAAAAAAGCCCAAGCCAAAGAACTTGAGGGAGCTTCGAAGTCTCCAAGGAAACTTAGCATTCATTCGGAGGTTCATCTCTAATCTGGCCGGACGGTGTCAACCCTTCAATCATCTATTGAGGAAGGATATCCGTTTTTTTAATTGGGATAAGTCATGTCAAAATGATTTTGAAATCATCAAAAGATACTTACTGAATCCACATGTGTTTGGGGGCCAATACTTGAGAAGCCATTGATACTCTACATCACGGCACATGAACGTTCACTTGGAGCACTACTTTCTCAAGAGAATGAGGAAGGAAAGGAACAAACCTTGTACTACCTCAGTCGAACTCTGATAGGAGCTGAGTTGAACTGTACGCCTGTTGAGAAAATATGCTTAGCACTACTTTTTGCGATAAAGAGGCTAAGGCATTATTTTGAAGTATACACCATCAAACTCATCTCTCGAGCAGATCCCGTAAAGTTCGTGATGACTCGACCTGTTCTTTTTGGACGCCTTGAAAGATGGTCCATATTGTTTAACCAATATGAGATCACATACACACCTCGAAAAGCTGTGAAAGGACAAGCACTAGCTATTTTTCTGGATGATCACCCTCTTCCGGCGGAATGGGAGCTTTCTGATGGGTTTCCAGATGAAGATGTTTTGTTCATTGAAGAATTGACACTATGGACAATGTTCTTTGATGGATCTGCACGTCGTAATAGTGTGGGGGCAGGTGTTGTGTTGATCTCTCCAGAAAGACAAGTCTTGCCATTCTCCTTCGTTTTAGGTAAAACATGCTCCAACAATGCCGCAGAGTACCACGCTTTGATCGCGGTCTGGAAATGGAATTAGACATGAAGATTCTACAGTTGAAGATCTATGGTGACTCTAAGCTGATCATCAACCAACTTTTGGGGAGTTACGAGGTAAAGAAGGAAGATCTCTTGCCATACCATCAATATTCTTCTGGTTTACTTGAAAGATTCGACCAAGTATTCTTAAACCACGTCCCAAGAGAAGAAAATCACAAGGTTGATGCTTTGGTTAACTTGGCCATGATGATGGTACTTGGAGAGAATGAGTCAACAAAGGTATATGTGTGTCATCGGTGGGTAATTCCTAGACTTCTTGATCATCAAGTCAACGAAAGCCATCATACGTCTGTTCGAATGATTGAAGAAGAAGATAGGAGGCAACCACTGATAGAGTACCTTGAACATGGAAAGTTACCTGAGGATCCGCGAGAAAGAACAGACTTCAAAAGAAGAGCACCAGGATTCATATTCTATAAGGGGACATTGTTTCACCGCCCCTTTGAAGGATTATTCTTGTGAAGTCTTTACAAAGAAGAAGCCCACCAAGAGATGGAAGAAGCACATTCTGGCTCATGTGGAGCACACCAATTTGGTCCCAAGCTCCATTTTTGCATCAAGAGGATGGGCTACTATTGGAAAACAATGATGAAGGATTGCATAGAGCATGCCAAAAGATGTCAAGCGTGTCAATTTCACGCCAACTACATCCACCAACCTCCAGAGCCTCTTCATCCAACTATAGCTTCATGGCCTTTTGATGCCTGGGGACTTGACGTTGTTGGACCGCTTCCAGTCATCAAAGGGACAGATGTACATATTGGCCGCTACGGACTACTTCTCTAGATGGGCTGAAGTTGTTCTACTCAAGGAGGTGAAAAAGGAAATTGTTGTCGATTTTTTCAAGTAATATATAATTTTTAGGTATGACATACCAAGATACATAATCACTGTTAAGAGAACGCCATTTGTCAACAAGCTTGTGAAGTGTCTGTGTGAGAAGTTTAGTTTCAAGCAATACAAGTATTCAATGTATAATGCACCTGCCAACGGCCTTGTTGAAGCTTTTAACAAGACGCTTGATAACCATTTGAAGAAAGTTGTTGCAAAGAACAAGACAGACTGGAATGAGAAAATTGGTGAAGCTTTGTGGGCATACCTGACAACCTTCGGAACTGCTACACAAGAACTCCTTACTCTTTGGTGTATGGCGTAGAAGCAGTCCTTGCGTTTGGGCAACAAATTCCATCATTGCGGATCACAATCCAAAAAGGACTCACGTCCGAAGAGAATGCTCAACTTCACCTAGCAGAGTTAGAGGCATTGGATGAGAAAAGATTGGAAGTGCAACAAAAATTGGTGTGCTATCAAGCTCGACTAGCTAGAGCCTTCAACAAGAAAGTGCGGCCACGATCATTCCAAGTGGGAGACTTAGTCCTGGCTATTCGACGACCCATAATCCTCAACAAACACATAGTGACAAGTTTACCTCAAAATGGGATGGGACATATATTGTGAAGGAAGGCTATTCAAGTGGTGCATACAAAATTGTTGATAAGGATGATCTTACAAATTTTTTGAAGCAATACTTCCCATAAAAGTCACCTACGCTCCTCGGTGCACGAGCTAAACTGCAATTCATGGCGCTCCTTGATGCATGATCCTAAACTGCACGTTGTTGCATTCCTCGATGCACGAGCCTAAACTACAATTCATGACGCTCCTTGATGCATGAGTCTAAACTGCACGTTTCTGCGCTCCTGGATGTATGAGCCTAAACTGCATGTTGCTACACTCCTGGCCCACATGAGTCTAAAATGTGTACGGCCAAAAAAAATAGTGTGCTAGGTTGAAAACCTCAAAAGAGGTAGCCTAAGCAAAAGTCAAGACAAAAAATCCACTAGGTATTGAAAACCTCGCGAGAGGCGGCGGCCTAAGCAAAAATTAGGACATAAAAAAAATATATATCCCTCTGAACTACGTTATGACTTGATCCTCTTTACCGAGGTACGTAGGCAGCTTAGACTTTCATTCTAAGTTCAGTTGCAAGAGTTTACAAAAAAAGGGTTTGGCTTATGGGATCATCACACTAAGTCATCCAAATGTAGAGGCATATATAAATGAGGAAAAGAAGACAATTAGCATTGAAGTATAAAAAATATTTTATTACTTCAATGTTACAAAAGTTGATACATCCAAAAATACAGTGACCAAAGAGATTAGACGTTTTCCTATACAAAAGCCTAAGTCATGAAAATGATCGTAAACTAGGCTTTGTTGCCGACTCGTATTGAATTCTTCTTCCAAGTCCATATGACGTCTCCACATTTTAATACGTTGTCCGCGATGTACGTGTATCACATTCAGTAGTTGTGATGATCTCTTGACCACATGCCTTGAGCATGATACTTTGCTTCTCTTGTGCAAGATTGGTTGAAGATCCCATATATGAGAAGTCGTCTCTCTTGAAAAACCTTCAATCACCATGGGATCCGCCATTGATGAACTTCAAGACTATCAACAAATCAAGTGCAACAGTTGGTGAGGGGGCGGCTCCGCATCTTGTATGACATCTCTGACTGATATCTGAGCCCGTTGAACTTCTTTGCGAGTCTGCAAAAGAAATAAATGAAGAGATAAGATTTGTGAAGCATGATATCAAAAGTTACTACATGTAAAACTGTAGAGTCAATTTCAAGGGGGGAAAAGCAACATTAATAGGACAACTCAGAGAGCATAAAGCTGGAAAGTGAGCTCAATGGACGACAGGATAAACTTTGAAAAACTACTGCGATCTATCTGAAAGACGTTCTGCCCCAAAAAAAATTATATGTTGTAGATTTGGATGTCTAATCTCCAACAACACAATCCGTTTGCGACTTGGAGGCTCCTACCTCAAGATACGATTTTTGTTGTCGGAACCACACGAATCTGAATGTTTACTGCAGCTAGGTCGTACTTTGAGAATTTTCTGTTTCCAGCCCAATAGGATTTCTGCAATGAGATTCATATGAGATGCAGCTCTATGAGTTTAACTTCTAACGGTTCAAACGGATCACACTTTGGAGATTTCTAGCTCAAGTTATGAATTTCTCGACAAAGGCGCACAGAGCTGAAAAGTTAGCTGGGCAGACGTGTGGAGAAACTTTGAAAAACTGTACCGGCCTACCTAGAGAGTGTTTTACCATGAAATTCGGAAATGTTGAAGCTCTTGAATGTTCAGTGTTCAATGATATCTCATTTATTATCCAGAGACTTGTATCTCAGGGTAGGAACTTTTCAGCAAGAGTGCGCAAGTCTGAAAAGCAAATGCAATAGACGTTAGGAGCAATTTCAAACTATTGTTGCGGTTAATTCGAAAGGAGTTCGTCTATGACATCTTCAAGTGTTGCAGAAATTGTATTTTTCTTTCCAATGGCACAGATGGATTACGATTCTGACACTCGTAGATCGCGATATGAATTTTTCCACGAGTGCACAAAAAGCTGAATAATGAGCTCGGCAGAGAGATGGGTCAATTTCAGAAATTTTATACGGATAATCTGCTAAGAATCCTTCCACAATATTTTAAGGATTTCCTTATATTTGAGTGTTCTTTCCAGTGGCGCAGACGGCTTGTGATTTGGACGTTTCTAGCTTGAGATATATACTTTAGAGTGGCAGCATACAGTGCTGTGAGGTCGCTATGACAGACATGTGCATCGCCTTCGAAAATTTATTCTGACTTGTCCTAAAATTTTGAATATGTTGTTGTGGTGAAATTTATGATTCTGTAGAATCAAGCGGATTGTAGTTTCGACACTCCTGAGTCGAGATATGATTTTTTAATGAGAGCATGCAATAGGAAGAAGCGGCTTGTGATTTCATCGCGCCTACGCCAAAGAATGGATATTTTGCGGAGATGTGACAAGTGCTTACTCGTCATGGCTGGAAAGGACTGCTCCAAGTAGTGTCAATTTCGCCAAGCCGCGAAAGTGAGACGCACCATATGCTCGCTTGCAAAGAACAATATGGTCGCTCCAACTCCAAGCCTCTTCGAGCCAATCTTCAAGGATGAGATGCGCCACGTGCTCGCTCGTTAAGGATGGAATACGGTCGCCGCAAGCCTCTTTCTCACCAAGACTCAAGGAGGGAACGCTTCATCTAGCCTTCTATGACAAACTGCAAGAAGAGGGTGCTCCGTCTACTTCGTCACAGTTACTTGGAATGCCATGTACATCTTCTCCAAAGCTCAATGGATACGAAGTCTTCATGCACCTCTTCGCCTGTAAAAACAAAAAGATATTGTTGAACATGTTTCACTTTGGAGAGAGCGCAAAGCTGAAATCGTCGCCAAACTTCTAGAAGATATCTGGGAAGATATACGGCCAATCTGATTGTGATATTTATATATTTTGTAGCTCTGGAAGTCTAGCTCCCGACGCCACAAACCGCTCGTAATTCCGACATTGCTACACCAAGATATGGGTCTTTTTGTGAAGGCACGCAAAGCTGTAAATTTGAGCACGGCAGCATCCGAAACAAAATTTCAAAATAATACCTGAGAAGCTACAGAAGGAATTTCGCCCCAAATTTTTGATATGTTGAAGTATTTGAAGTATAGTGTCAAGAGGATCAGACGGCTTGTGTTTTTGATGTTTCTACGACAACATATGATGGTTTTCTCCACAAATGCCTAAAGACTGCAGCGACAAGGAAAAGATTTTGGAGGCCTCGCTGCCAACAAAATGAAGCTTTTGGTTATGTCTAATTGATTAGCGCCAATAGCTTCAGTTCAAAAACAAACAAAAAAACATAAAGCAAAATTTGTCCTAATCAAGCCACCACTTCGACTAGCTGGAAAAACGAAAGACAGTGGAGGGGATTGCAGCCGGACTTGCAGAGGAACCGTGAAACTTGCGGCAAGTCTTGATACAAAATTGTGGTTGATGCACCACTTTTATAAGGATTAGATGAAGCAAAAGTTGACATCTACATGGAAACGAAGAGTTTGAAGAGTAATCCGATTTGTTTTCTTGGAAAAGTGGCATAAAAAAAGCATGGGAGAAGTAAGGATCCTTGTTCAAGTTATGCGACGAAATAGAGTCTGTTTCCTTTTCTTAGTCAAACTCTGGTGTTAAACTGGTTTGGCGTTGTTGGAACTACAACATTTTTTCTTTTTCTTTTTAAAATGTATTATTATAGACGTGCTATGTCTTGATTAAAGCTTCTTCAATATTATCATGTGTTCTTAAAAAAAAACGGTGCTTATCCAAATAATCAAATGCTTCATTTGGTGAAAAGATATGAAGCAATTATTTTTATCGGTACTTCAAGCCTCGTCTAAGGTTCAACAAGTCTACACCTCAACAAATCTTGAAGTAAAGGGCATCTGTAGACATATAAAATTTATTGGGTCTAATCCATATAAAATTTGGATTAAATTCAGTTGGGTTAAATAATTAATTTAGAATTTATAAATTAAATTAATCCATTTTAATATTTTCAAGCTCAAGGTCCATTTTATCTTAAGGCCAAGACTCATGCCATATGTCAAGTGACATGGCATGTCCAGTCAAACTCAAAGCCAACAAGGTGACGCCACGTATGAAATGATGTGGCAATCCTAGACCAAAACAATGACCAATCAAGAGTTGCCAAATGTCTAAAATGACATGTCTTGCCCAATCACAAATAAGCTTATGACATAACTTAAGTGATAAGTTTGATGACTCTGAGCCAATCAGAATCAAGCAACAGAGTTCATATGTAGCTAGACTGTCCAATCACTACTACTATATATAGAGGAGTTACATAACTCTCTAGGGAGATTGAGAGTTGGAGAAGAGCATTCCGCAATTAGTGAAGGCATCCGCAAACAAAGAGATCAATCATCAAGTGTAATGTTTTTCTACAAATGAGTGGTCAACGGAGTTCTTCCCGAAGATGAACCCAAAACAACAAAGTGCTGCTCGACGTTCTTGGCGATTAAATATATCGCAGGGAGGTCTACATCGTCCTACATTCGAGAAAGACGTTTCTCAAGCCCTCGAATCACGGATAATTTCGTATAAGATAATCAAGAGATACAAAGAATTGTACTCACAAACATTTATCAATAAAATCTCTTTTTCTTCATATTATTTTTATTGCAGTTTATTTTCTGTACAATGAAAATGTGTTGCTAACATTATCAAATAAGACATTTTTTTTCCTTTTGTTATGGTCATATATAACATATCAAACAAACAAAGAATTATTATAAGAATATTCACTGAAATTCAAAAATAGCCAGATTTACAACCGGTAATTAAAAAATAGTCACAGTTTTAAAAGTAATCGAAATTTAGTCACTTTTCATGTAAAGATAAAATCTGAACAAAAATGCTCTTAAAAATCCGAAAATATTTCAGCATAATATGCTGGAATTCCATCATAATATGATAGAAGTTTATATGTCAGAGCTCCATAATCTTACATATTACGCTGGAACTTTCCGTGTGCTGGAGTTCCAACATAATATGCTGGAAATTTATACGCAAGAGCTCCATAATCCTCATATTATGCTAGAACTTTTCATGAGTAAAACATTGGCTATTTTTCAACGACTTCACAAATGCTGGCTATTTTTCACTTGCCGGTCCGAAAACTGGCTAGCCCGTGCTATTACTTATGGATCAATTTGGGCTAAAAATCGGCCAAACTTTAGATGGGCTAATTCAAATGGGCGGGTCAATCATCGGCCCAACCTTGGAGGGTTTGGGGTCAAACGGGTTGGGCTCAAGCTTGACACCCCTGATTTCACCTATTATAGATTCAAGTTTGAGAAGCGTTTTAAATAGGGATGGCAAATAGGCGGGTTGGGCTGAATTTGGGCGGGTCGAGATGGGTTAGGTCAATAAATGGGTTATTGCCCAACCCAGCCCAAAGTTTACTTGGGCTAAGATGGGTTGGGTCAAGAGGGTTAAACAATGGGTCATAACCCAACCCGCCCAACTTACCCATGTGTTTAGAACCATGCTCATCTTGCATTAAAAAACCTTTTACCTTATAATGTGTAAGTTGAAAAATATTTTGCAAGTGTGGTTGGGGGGTGGTGCAGAAAAACGAAATAACAGAAAACAGAAAACACAAAATTGAAATTATAAAAAAAAAAAGTAAAAAAAAAATCTTTTTAGAGGGGTTTAACGTGGGGGGGGGAGGGGGGGTAGGGTGGTGCAGAAAACAAAAAAAAAAATAGAAAATTAAAAATACAAAAAAAAGTAAAAAAAAATTTTGGACGAGGTTTGCGTCGGGGTGGTAGGGGTGGTGCTTTAGGGTTGGGGGATAGGGTGGGTGGTGTAGAAAATTGAAAATACAAAAAAAAAGAAAAAGTGAAAAAAAATTTTTAGGGGGTTTGCCGTGTAGGATGGGTGGGTGGTGCAAAAAAAAATAGAAAATTAAAATACAAAAAAAAAGTAAAATTTTTTTTAGGGGGTTTGCAGGGAGGTTGGGGTAGTGTGGGTGGGTAGTGCAGAAAAATAAAAGAACAGAAAATTAAAAATACAAAAAAAAAAGTAAAATTGGTGCAACTATGTAAATTTCTAAATAAGGGGGTTGAGATCCTTTGTTTTGGGTGAGTTTCATGGGTTGTATTTGGGCTGCTTAATGGGTCAGAATGGGTAAAGAGAAATTTTCATAAAGCACTATCTTTTAGTAGTAATTAGCCATCTATAGATACCATTTGCTATATTACGGATTATAGATACCTTTTCTGTGGTTATAAGATGTATTTGATGTATTTAAGCTATTGTATTAATGAATACAGTAGCAAAAATAGGCTTGAATCAGGGAAGCCAGCTAATCAGTTGTTGTATTCGAGTGTATCCGAGTGTATTCATGGAGTGAAACATGGAATTACAGTTGGACAGATTATTGTATTCAACTGTATTCACGGCGTGAAATAGGGGATTACATTGTTTTTAAAATGAAAAGTGAATCAATTAACATAATAGACTCCTAATATAACTCAACAAACTCAATTATAACACACAAATTTTGTATTTTCGGCTATAAAAAAAATTCTCAACCGAAAAATACCCCAAAAATATAGCAATCTTCAGAGAAATTATATAATACATCTGAATACATAGTTTATATTAATTAAAAAAACATATGAATACATTCATGGCATATAGCGAGACAGTGAATACAATGAAATACATAGAATACAGCGGGATACATTGAAATACAATGAGAAAAAAAGACAGTGAATACAATGAAATATATGGAATACAACGAGATACATTGAACTACAATGAAAAAAAAGACAATGTATACAATGAAATACATGAAAATACAGCGTGATACGTTGAAAATACATTGAAATATATATTGATAGAAAATCAAGTTGCTCAGCCTCAAAATCCGCCGTCTTTGTTCAAAAACAAACCCTAATTTCCGACGAATCTGCCGTCGAGCAAAAACCCTAAGTCTCACTGTTCCATGCATCCTGTAAAACTATTAAACAGAAGAATTCAGAAAAAAGAAAAAAAAGACCAACATGGAGACTTACAGTAAAATTCAAGAATCGATAAAAAAGATTCCAACTTGATAAATAGATTTTGTTGCACTCAACCCCCTTTCTTCCCGGACATGTGAATTATATTGACTTCAACTTTTTCTCTCTCAGAAGCAAAGTTGTATTACTGATTCCTTTAGCTGATATACTTTGAGTCTTTGACCTTTCTCCCTATTGCCTTATTTTTAGAAGTGGTTGTAAGCCCTTAGCTTTAATTCGATTCGCAATTGCCTTTGGGGTTAAGAAATCGTTTTTCTCCATTTTTGAATTTGGCAATTGAGATAACCAAGTTTAAATCTGACGGAAAATCTAGGAGATGAAAGGAGAGAGAGAGAGAGCCGTACAACTGGATTTCGCCGGAGAGGAGGAGGTTCCCAAATCCCAGCCAAGAGAAGTGGTGGTCGGTTAATGAATCCGGTATTATTTGGAAGAGAGAATGACATGTATCAAATTAGAGAGAGAAAGAAAATAGTATAACTGAATAGTGTATTTAGTGGCTTAGGGGTAGGAGGTACCAAAATTAGATATTTTGCTATAAATAGTAAAAGGTATCTATAGAATATAATTTTTTTAAATGGTATTTATTTAAAATAAATAAGGTATTAACCTTTGCTATAAGAGGTAAAAATTCCTATAAAAAATAATTGATTAACTTGGGCTCAGCCCAAATTGACCCATGAGCTAAAATGGTTTTAGCCCAACCCATTAATTTCTGGGCGGGTTGGATAAGTTTGGGCTCAAATTGCCATCACTACCTAATTCAAGAGCATAACAGTTCGTCGAAGTAATGTTGGGACGTAGATGTAATCATGTAATACTAAGTCTAATATTTACTTAAAACTTAGCCTCCTATCACAGCATTTTGCTATTCCATTAAACCTAATGCACATCAAATACAGAATGTTATGAATCAGCTCCAGCCCAATGTCATACAAGTAGCTATTGGGCTGACACGAGCTATTGGGCCTAGAACAAACAATAGCCCCAGGTTAATTTGGGATCCAGGATGAGTAGTACAGTATAGGCTTAGGACGGTTATGTTAAAAAGGGTAGTGGATCTGAGTTGGAGGTTATGCGAATTGTTGAAGAAAAGTCTGTTCCTCTCCTCTCCTTTCTGAGTCTAAGCTTCTCATCTCTCTTCTTCTACTATCTTTTGTATCTTCTCCTATATTCTTAGTTTTAGTATTTCCACTATTAGATCTTTAGTTCTTATCAATATACTATGATATTGTAGCAATTGTTACATTGGTGCTTTCATCGATTCGGATTCCAATGGACATCGTGCAGCTAGATAAATTTAGTGGCGGCAACCCAGAGGGCTGGGTTTATCGGGCGGAGCGTACTTCACATACCTTGGCTTCTCCGAGAATGGCTGGTTACCTCTCCCCTACTACTACCTCGATGGCGAAGCTCTTACTTGGTTTGATTGGTTTTTTCAAAACGAGCAATTTTTTGATTGGAATCATTTTAAGGAGAAACTGAAGTTGCGTTTTCGGACACGGACCTTCACAAATTTAGTAAGTACAGCAGAAACTTCACAGGCCTGTGTTGAC